CATGCTCAAATAAACTATGAATATTTGGCACGTGACTTAGCAAAGCATTACCTTAATAACTAGAAGCGATTTTATTTGATTCATGGGCACACTTTGTTAATAAAGTTAAAAATGAAATACGAAACAAACTTACCATTATCATTACACTCAAAAGTTTACTGATAAACATAGGCCTCCCCCGTAAATTGCCTTACAGAGGGGATAGAGGTTGCTGCCATGTTGGTTAGTGGGGTTAGCAAGAGCTTTTTATTTTTAGTTGTCAAGAGGAAGATGCTTCTAACCATATTGCCTTGTTTCCCGAGCCCATGTTCTTTGTCCTCTAGTTGAACGAGACGATAAGTGGAAGCATATTAACAAACTTAACCCGAAAAATATTAAGAAAAAATATAATTACTTAATTACCACCAAAAATTTAAACCCATAAAAATGTATCATGAAAGAGTGAGCAAAGTTCAGTGATTCATCCAACACAGAGTTTAGTGACAACTCACTCAACGTCAACAGTTGTGACTCTACCGTATTTTCAAGCATGTCGTTTCAAAATTATCATTCTTTAATTTTCTAGCGATCTACTCCGGCTTCTCATTTGTAGCGCGAAGTATCTCCAGCCGGTTAACCTGGAGCAGTAGTGGTAAGTTTATCTACTGACCCGCTACGTAGCGTGATCGTTGATTTGATAAGGATGTTTAATTGTAATATTAATGCTTCCGAACTCATCCACTCTACTTCAGTTAGTGCCCAATGCAAACTAAAATGACAGTTTGACATGATACTCTTGTAGTAAATAGATCTTGCTTCCAGAGTCGAATAATTTTTTTTCTTCTTACGAACTAAATGTCGAATCATAGATCACTTACAATCAGTGTCTCAGCGGGTGGGCACAGCGCCACGGCATATTTCTGAAAGGAATAGATGATATAAAAAATCAGCACACACATGTGTGGCCGTGGCCAAGCAACTTAGAATTGAGCTGAGGCACTGGTGACAGTGATTTGGGATCTCGCACGAATCAAGTATTTATATGGCCTACAATTATCGTTCCTGCTCGAGATTTTTGTCTTTATACAAATAATGTATGTAAACCACCTACCAACCACCTAGGACTAGAAACTTATCAAAGGGATAAGCATATAAAAAATTACATTTATTAATATTATTTAGCACATAAATTTGTGTGCTAAATGTTTATTTTCCGTGATGTGGGTGCTGTGGCATTGTGTTACAGCTTCATGTGATACAGGGCTACTTTCAACAAGGATACTTTCACATTTTATACGTGGTAGAGCCACGCTGCCGCTATATTATAGTTGTAGCACGAATGGGTCGGCTCGACCGAAGAAGGACCACGCCCTCACAGAATACCAGCGTAAAATAGCAGCTTAATACTGCCGTGTTTCGTATGGTGAGCATAGAGATCCGGAGACCCTTTTTTACTGAAAAACGAGGCATTCCATTTTAGTCCTCAGGGGTGACAACGCATCTGCGTTTTGATTCTTAAGCGAGGGTAGATGTCTATGTGGGCTACAGCATCCACTTGCCATCAGGGGGACTATGTGCTCGTTTGTCACCCTTATTCTATAAAAAAACATTCAACATAGAGGGGTCGTAAGTTCCCCACGCATGGGCAAGGTCCCGTGGGGCTAGTCAAATTAATTTTCGACAACCAGTAACGCTAATGAGCCGTGGCTCAGGGGCTAAGCGCTCGCTGTAAATTACAAAGTACGCGAGCAACCAGGGTCTCCTATCATTTATCATCGATTAAGAATCAAAACGCAGATGCGTTGTCATCCCTGAGGACTAAGATGAAGACGATGATGACTGATCACGCCATTGGCGCACCTATTTAACCTCATCTTAGAAACGGCGACTATACCTATGCAATGGACCGAATCAAACATAATTTTACTCTATAAAAAAGGAGACTCCCATTGTATCGGCAACTTCACATCTATCAACCTTTTACCGACTCTATACAAACTATTTTCTTCGATCATTCGTAAGAGAATAAGTGATGCGTTAAGCACATGGCAACCTGTAGAACAGGCAGGCTTTTGCAAAGAATTCTCTACAATAGATCACATACACTCCTTAGAACTATTTATAGAAAAGTACCAGCAAAGACAGAGACCACTCTACATCGCCTTTGTAGACTATTAAAAACATTTGATACAATATCTCACACGAGTATCTGGGAAGCCTAAAAGAGTTCAAAAAGTAGAAAAGAAATACAAAGAAGTGATAAGAAACATTTATAGTAAAAGCACTAAGTTAAATTGGAAATGATTGGCCAAAGTTTTCCTATTAAGAGAGGAGTAAGGCGAGGCAACACGGTATCGCCAAATCTTTTTACAGCTTTACTAGAAACCATCATAAGAAAAATGGACTGAAATAAATGTTGTCTGAACATTAATGCCAAATACTTAAGCCATCTAAGATTCGCAGACGATATAGTGTTGTTATCAGAAACTAGCTGTGACCTGCAATATATGTTAGAGTCCTATAATATAAGCACCAGTCAATTGGGATTAGAGATGAACCTGTCAAAGATGAACGCCATGACAAATAGCATCAAAAAGTGTATCAGGTGAGAAAATAGGCCGCTAGACTACGTGTATTATATCTATCTTGGAAAACTAATATGTTTCAAAACAAACAGCAATGAAATGGAGATACAGCGCAGAATAAAAATCATGTGGAACAAATATTGGAGCCTAAAAGATGTATTTAGAAGCACTACATGTTGCTTATAAAGCTCAAAAAGAAAACTATGGACTCATGCATTCTGCATCTCTAACGTATGGTTGCCAGACGTGAAAAATTACGAAATAAAATTAAAAAAATAATTAGTTCATGCCAGAAAGGAATGGAACGCAGCATGTTAAACATAAAGAAAATACAAAAAATACGACACTATACTGAAACAATAGACGCGCTGGCTTACGCTCAAAAACTAAAATTCAGATGGACTGGCATATAGCCCGATACGTTGACAACAGGTGGACCATAAATGTAACCACATGGAAGGTAAAGTAAAGTTAGAGCCTATATACGTCCCACTGCTGGGCACAGGTCTCCCCTCATTTCAAGGAAGTGTCCGCCGCGCTACCCCAGTGCGTGTTGGCGAACTTCACATGTCTTCGAAATATATTTTTTTTACTCTTATTCCTCAGACATGCAGGTTTCCTCACGATGTTTTCCTTCACCGCCGAGCACGTGGTAAATCAGCACTTAAAATTGCAAATAACAATTTCATTTGCCGGCGATGATCGAACCTCTGTTATTTTACTGCGAGCGTTAACCATCTGAGCTACCACGGCTCTTGGAAGGTCCCACCATGCAAACGCCAAGCAGGGAGACCCTACATGAGATGGGAAGATGACATAAAGAAGATCGCAGGAACAAACTGGTTATAAATAGCAAAAAACAGAGAAAAATGGAAATCCTTGGAGGAGGCCTTTACCTGAGAGGGTCCATGCTATTTATAATATTTATATTATTCTAGCATTAAATATTACTTTATTGATTACTCTATTGATTATAATTTTAATTTATTATTAATATTTATATCATTATACTTTTTTATGTTAACAGTAAAGCTGAATGTCATATATTTTTATATATGACAAATGCATGTAAATAATAATAAATTAGTATGTTAGTTCATAACTTCATGATAACATCATTTAATCTAGGTAATCTGAATTGAATTGTTGCATAATAATTTCAAAGCTCAAAAATCATTGTTATGCATGGAATTAAAGGCTTTTTTATTTTATTTACTCATAAACAATACTGGTCAATAGTTCCTCCCAATTCACGTAGATTTGACGTTATCGACATACTTGTTTTGTTTTTGCGCCCGAAGCAAATAAGAGCAACCCTCCGGTAACGGGGGAGGTTTGCGCCCTCCTTTCTGCCACGGAGGGTCGCGTCCGTATACGGCTTAGAGATCTCTAGTTAGACCATTAAGCCAGTCCCTAAAAGGTGGGGTTTAGTGGAGAAAAGTCGCCACTTAAGCTATGAGCATTCCCCACCTCCCTCCCCCGCTTTCCGGATGGTTGCCCATATTTACTTCGGGCGAAAAAAAAAACGGGGGGAGGGAGGTGGTGAATGCTATATTACCCTAATGGCTCATAGCATACCACGCAACCACGCAGCCGGCTGCGCGGTTATGCTTATGTGGAGATTTTACCTACTAAACACCACCTTTTGGGTGTTTAGTGGGTAAAAGACAGACATACTTGTCTAGTGGATCATCTAATATACTCAGGCTGCAAAAATATGTCAGCAGCCGATTATTGTGCAGCTGATAGTTAAAATGACAAGGTACGTACATGAGGGTATTATGGCCACCCAGGAGGGTGAAACTTCAATGCAAACCTAACACTGAAATTTTGTGTGCCGCCTGAGCGCCATCTTTAGAACGCCGTCATGCAACTTAAAGTAAACCGACGTTTTATACAAAATTCTAATAGATGGCGGTGTTAAAAGTGTTGGGTGGCCATATAAAGAACGTGGTAGAATTGGAAGAATTATATTGATTGTGTTTTGTTTTGGTTTTCAATTATTGAAAACTATAAATAAAAATATAATAAACTAAAAAACTACTTCTATTCAAATGTTATTAAAGCCTTTTTGGTAGTGATTTTTTAAATGTTTTCAAATGTTATACGGTACTTAAGTAATTTGTAATTTTGGATATGGCAACTTTTGACATTGTAGGCCGGTAGAAAAGTTTTGACTTTTGATTTTGAATCTTTTTTGACTTTCTGCTTTTGTTTTGGTGTAAGTTATATGTTTGCCTCATGAAAATTGTATTAGTGAATTATTTATTTTAACGACTTGGTATTACTTACGGACTCTGGATTTATCTACTGTATCTATAAACTCGGCACCCAATACGGACTTTGGATTATCTACTACTACGCACGACATTGGCATTCAATATTCATTACGGATTTTGCTTTTTCCTTACGACTGTTTCTACATTGGAATACGCAATGCCTACGAAATTATGTTATTTTGGCTGTAAGCTAGATGGTAAGTATTTGTGTAAATAAATATATATCTTATTTTAAGATTAAAATAGGAACGTAACAAATCCATATTGATTTTGTTTTCAGTACCTATGCATCGTTTCCCAAAACCTGGCTATTATAACGAAGCTAGATTTAATATGTGGTTGTTAATTGTGGTGTGTTGCCTGAGGAAACGAAACTTAGAGGAACTTCATATATATTAAGAAATATCTACATATTATGTGACAGACATTTTGATCAAAGGTTTCGCACTATTGGAAAAAGGCTTACTGCTAACATTTATCCCACTTTAAATTTATGTAAGTGGTGTATAGCAGTATGTTGCTTGCTTTCTGCGTAAGTAGGTATATAGTGCAGAAGTGTAATTTCTATGTAGTGGTAACATAGTAGAATCCACTAGCTCTGTATAATAAAAAACTGTTGGCAATCTGCCACCCGCAAAAAACTCATTGGTATAACACCTCCGAATAGAACCACAAGTGATTTTTATAAACAGGAAACTTGAACTCAAACCCTTCAATCGATGAAATTTCATTAGACATTAGTTTTTTTAGGACAGAAAAGCAATTTGTCAATAAATTTTGAAAATTTAATATGAAGAATACTATAATTCTAAAAAAGTAAAGTAACGGCCTATATAGGTCCCACTGTTGGGCACAGGGCTCCTCTCACTTCTATGAAGGTTTTAGGGCAAGAAAGTGTCCTCCGCACAGCCTCAATGCATGTTGGCGGACTTCAAATGTCTGAAATATTGTTTTTCATTTCTCAGATATTACAGTTTCCTCACAATGTTTTCCTTCACTGCAGAGCATGTGGTAAATAAGCACTTAAATTTGCAGTTAACAAATTCATTGGTGCTGACGGGGATCGAACCCAAGTTGCTCGTGTACTGTGAAATTTGCAGCAAGTGCTAACCCACTGAACTACCATGAATTCTAAGAAAATGAATTTTAAAACTTGCCTGAATGGTCATAGAATAATAATAATTTTTACCTAAATATGTAAGCTTCCATAAAACTGAAAGTAATCTGAACATTCATACATAAACTATGCCCGAAAAAATTATGCCTGAATTTATTGCAAACCTTAACCTAGTATCTTCTCTTTAGTATAATTCATATGTATTAAAATTATTTCAGCTCATCAATACAGAGCTTTGGACAGTGAAAACTCCGAAACTGCAAGTTCTACTGAAGTTAAATATTAAAATAAAAGAATTAAAAGCATGCCATATTCATGATAATATTTTAGGTTGGTGTATTCTTAGGGTTGCACCTAGGCAGTACAAAATTTAATTATACATATGTTTATACAATATAATTTGGTTTTTAGAAATGGTTTCAACTGGATCTTCGATGATGAATATTCATACTGAAATTTCAGATGCTACTGAAGGTAATTTTTTTCATTTAAAGCTTGTTATTAGTTAAGTACACTTATGCATGCCTGTCATACACTGTCCTGTACTGTGAGAGTGCCTGGTCCTGGTTATGTGCAGTGTTCTTGATTATACCCACTTTTCCCCAGCCACATATTATTTCCCACTCAATATGGATATGTGTTTTCTTCTAATGCTCATGGCACATACTTTAATGTAATTGCTACTGAGTGGCACTATTCTGATCTTAAATGTTTCAATTAATGAGTGTTTAACCCAAAATTGCATGACTCAATATTTTTTTTATATAGGATAGGGTGACAAACGAGCACACAGTCCACCTGATGGTAGGTGGATGCTGTGGCCCATAGGCATCTACATTTGATTAAGAATCAAAATGCAGATGCATTGTCACCCTTGAGGACTAAGATGGAATGCCTCGATCCCTGTAAAACGGGTCTCCGAATTTCTACACTCACCATATGAAACACAGCAGTGTTAAGCTGCTATTTTACGCTGGTTTTCTGTGAGAGTGTGGTCCTTCTCCGGTCCTTCATGCTACAACCATAATATAGCTGCAGCGTGGCACTACCATCTAAAAAAATGAATGTTATGTACACTTGTTATTGACTTACATATCAGAGAGTATAGAAATGTGTATGTTTTCGTGATTATGTCATATATGTGTATTGTAAGTGTACTTCTTAAATAAAATAATAAAAAATTTAATTAATAAAAGCATTTGTCGATTAATAATTTTGGCATCTTTTACTCAAGTATAATGATACACTATATTTTTTCAGAAACTTTACCAATGGCCTCTACTTCAAAAGATGCATATCAAATTAGAAAACAGTCTAAACCTCAACAACAAAGAGGTCAGTAAAATCGTATCAAGTAATATGTATTATTTAGTTATTATGTCTGCTGAATACAAATTGGCTATATTGTCAAATATTATAATAACATAAAATAAATAAGATTAGTTAGACTTCATATACATAGTTCCACTTCAGTGTCTGGTTCTTTTCTGTTTTTGATGCTTATATACAGTGACCTATTATTAAATGAAACTGGGGTCTGAACTAGTGTCCCAGCGAAAAAGTTTCAAAATGCAAAAATAGTTTTGTTAAGCAACTAACATGTCCAAAATGCCATACTGGTTTGTGAAAACATACAAAAACTATCTATATTTATTTTCCATAAGAACTACTAATATTTAATAATTTAAAAGTAATACTATGCATAGTATTTAATTTAAATTCGTATTAATTGTAAAATAAGTAACTATACCTATAATTTTCACTGGAATCTTCATAAGGTGAAAATAGTGCAACCTCTAGTCGAAATATTGATAAATTGGGATAAAGATAAATTGTCACAAGTAAAATTGAGTAGTGTTATAACCACAATATGGTTTGAACTAGGAAGTTACAGTCATGGGCGTGCAACTTAGAACATTATTTTGAGAACAAAGTGATCTTTTTTTGTGCTGCCATCTACATTGCTAAACATTAGACTAGACTTATTTTAATCCAACTAGAGGGCACGCTTATATATTAAGTTTACGTATACGAAATGATCTATGTTCCATGCGCACTTTACTACGCAGTTAATGGCGGTCACTGGTAGTAAAGATTAAATTGATAATAATATCTATTTAGCATTATTCCCGTTTCTCGTGTGTTTATGTGTTTTATTTCATTGTAATTGATAAATCTGTGACATAGTTTTGTTTATTAACTGTAACTGAAATGTCACGACAGCAATGTGTTTTTTAATGTGACCAATTTGGTAAGAACTTTTCTAATATTCGCGTATTTTCCAGTTTTTGTTCACTTGTAAACAGCTAATATCTAAGAAATTGAAGGTTTGGACATGGGCTGTAATGATCAAAAGTCCACTGCTATGCATAGGTAGGCCTTTACAGATTGCCTCGTAGGTACTATTTGCCATAGCTGCCACGCTTGGTAGGTGGGTTATTGCCTATCTCCTGATTCAGTTTTCCTCTCTCGCCTTGCAACCTCGATATAACAAATCGGAAGGGTACAAGTTAATATTCGTTATATCAAGTAATTCGTTGAAATTAAGTTTGTTATGTTGAGGTTAGGTTGGTCGTAAATTTTTTACAAAGGTAAAAAATTCGCGACATGAATCATATACTATGGGATTATATAGATATGGGATGGGGTTAAGGGTCATACGTAGGTGGGAACTTTATATAAAGGTTTTGGGTTGACAAAATTCGGTTAGAGTTATTTACACTTTCCTTGATAGTTGAGAATTCGTTATAAGAGGTTATTCGCAAGATATGTTCGCAATGTAAAGGTATATTTTACATTGACTTATGGACAATTCAAAGGGATCACGAAAAATTTGTTAAATCAAGGAAGTTGTTATATTGAGGTATGTTAAGGTTGCACTGTATTTTATCATTTCAGATATTTTTCGCTACTTTCCTAAACCGGAATACCCTACAATGGAAAGGTTTCAGCTATGGAAGAGCGTAGCTGGAACATATTTAAAAGATAAGACCGATCGTGAAATATACAATAACCACCGCATTTGTGATCGGCATTTTGAGGATCGTTTTTTATATCCTCGTACCAAAAGGCTTGCAAAAACAGCTTACCCCAGTCTTAACCTTGGTAAGTCTTTATTCTTTTATTCTCACTTTTATGTTTATTAGCTATTATTTTAGCAGTGCAGACTAAAGAAACTCACTTTCATGATGTAATATTACTAAAGATGGTCAAGCAATCTTTTAGTTTTACTTATTATAGATATGTCAGTGTACAGCTTGACTACAACAACTACAACAACCCCACCCGGTGGTAAGTGGTTATAAAGCCCTAGATTGTAAAGCACACTGGATTAACAAAAACAAAAGCTTATTCACTATTACCCTAAAGACAATTAAAAAAAAAATATTTTGAATTTTTAGGGTTCCGTAATACACAACAAGGAACCCTTATAGTTTTGTCAAGTCTGTCCACCGCGGTTTTACTCAGACCCTAGGTGCTACAAATTTGTAATTTGGCTTAATTATAGCTATTAATCACGCCTACGAAACTGTAAAATAAAATCTTAAAAACATTTTTAAGCTATTGCATAGCTTCTATCGCGGGCCTTGAGTGCGGGAAAATCCAGAAATTCCGTAACGAGAAAACCTCACGCTCTCCGACGGGTACGGAGGTGTGGCTTGAAGGCCGTGCATTGTCTAACGATGGTCTAACGTTGTTTCTTTTCCTCAGTCTTCGACACAGTGTTTGTGTATAAAGTGTTTTGAAATTTTGAATCATCATCATCATCATCATTACAGCCCTTCACAAGTCCACTGCTGAACATAGGCCTCCCCCAAGTAATGCCACAAAGCACGGTCCTGAGCCACCTGCATCCATCGACTTCCTGCATGTCTTACCAGGTCGTCACTCCATCTAGTGGGTGGTCGCCCTACACTACGCCTACCGGTACGAGGCTGCCACTCGAGAACCTTTCTTCCCCATCGGTTATCGGTTCTTCGAGCTATATGGCCGGCCCATTGCCACTTCAGCTTACTAATCCGTTGGGCTATGTCGGTCACTCTGGTTTTACTGCGGATATCCTCATTTCTGAGTCTATCACGCAGAGAAACTCCGAGCATAGCCCTCTCCATAGCTCGCTGAGCGACCTTAAGCGTCCTCATACGGCCAGCAGTGAAGGACCACGTCTCAGATCCGTAAGTCATCACTGGCAACACGCACTGGTTGTACAATCTAGTTTTTAGAGATTGAGGTATACCTGACAAAAAGATATGCCGTAATTTCTCGAACGCTGCCCAGCCGAGTTGAATCCGTCGATTGACCTCTCGGTCGAAGTTGGACTTACCTAGTCGGACTATTTGTCCCAGGTAAACGTATTCGTCAACAACTTCGAGCATAGTGCTCCCAACAACTACCGGCATAGGTGTGACATGGACATTGAACATGATCTTTGTTTTGTCCATGTTCATCTTAAGACCTATCCGCTGGGAGGCACTATTGAGGTCATTGAGCATAGTGCTTAAGTCCTCCAGCGATTCTGCCATAAGGACTATATCGTCGGCAAATCGAAGGTGAGTGATGTACTCGCCATTGATGTCAATACCGTATCCTTTCCAGTCCAGTAGCTTGAAAACGTCTTCCAATGCAGCGGTGAAGAGTTTCGGGGATATAACGTCACCCTGTCTTACACCTCTCTGCAGTTGGATAGGTTTCGAGCTCTGGTTCTGTACTCGGATAGCCATCGTAGCCCTACTGTACAAACACTTCAGCACTTCGATATACCGACAGTCAACTTGGCACCGCTGAAGGGACTGTAGCACCGCCCAAATTTCGACGGAATCAAAGGCTTTCTCATAGTCCACATACGCCAGGCAAAGTGGCAGATTGTACTCTTCAGTCTTCTGTACAATCTGCCGCAGGGTATGTATGTGGTCTATGGTACTGAAGCCTTTTCGGAAACCGGCTTGTTCGGGAGGCTGGAAGTCGTCAAGTCTGCGTGCGAGACGATTCGTAATGACTCTCGAAAACAGCACGTAGACGCGGCTCAGAAGGGAAATCGGTCTGTAGTTCTTTAAGAGAGCGTTGTCGCCTTTCTTAAAGAACAAGACCACCGCACTTCTGCTCCACGCCTCTGGAGTAGTGCCACCATGGAGGACGGAATTGAAGAGCTTCTGAAGGACTTCAAGTACCGGTGTTCCACCCGCTTTCAGAAGCTCCGCTGTAATTCCATCCTCGCCTGGGGCCCTGCCGTTTTTAAGGTGCTGGAGAGCCATTCTAATCTCGCTTAGACTGACGTCCGGGATATCATCGGAATAGTGTCGGATAAGACTTGCTCTTGGATCGTTACTCACACTTGCGTGTGGCTCCAACGATGATGTGTACAGCTGCCCATAGAACCTCTCAATCTCACTCAAAATCTTCCCACTGTTGCCACACTCAGTCTTCAGCCTTGACAGTTGGCTCTTTCTGGCAGACAGATCTCTGGCAAAGACTTT